TATAAACCCTAATTAGAGTTTAAGTTGTAATGGGACGGTTCAATCATTTTCTATATAAATGTTACGTCGCCTCTCTTCTCTATATTGTTTTATTAGCTTGCCCCATTGACGACTAATATTTTGTGAGGAGCAAAGGGGGAAAGATCTAGAAGCTATTACTCATATCCTCAATATCTTCTGTAGGTGTGAATTTGATTTATCAATTTATTATTATGTGATTCTTGTGTCTTATCATGATTATTGTTAAATTCAACACTTAATTCCAATGACAATTACGTAAGTTGGAGAATTAAATTATTTATTACATTTTTTTCATGCTCTTGAAATAGAAGACACGACCATACGGCCAGGCAATAAAACAATGTGCCGTTTCAAATTTACCCATTAATACACTTAAAAATATATATATATATATCATAGGATTATGTAAAAATAATATTATATTTGCTTTCAAAAAATATAATCTTAGAGTTGAGAAATATAGTATTAGAAAAAGAAGAAAATATGAATGAATGACAAAATATAATGTGTAAATTATCTTAAAACAATATACTAACAAAATTTAATAAAATAATTGATAAATTTTGTCTCGGTACTTGTTTTCTTTAATTCGGATTGGTCAAATTTGCGTATTATGCTATACTGACAAAATTAATTGATAAATTTTGTTACTTGTTGTTTTCTTTGATTCGGCTAAGTCAAGCTTGCGCTATACCAACAAAATTCGATAAAATAATTGATAGATATTGTTAGTACTTGTTTTCTTTAATTCGGTTCAGTCAAGTTTGCGTATTATGCTACCATTTTGGCTTAGAAACAAAGTGTAAACAAAATTTATCATGACAAAGAATTCGCAATTTTATCATATTTTATTATTTGTAAGTTTTTTAATATAATTATATAAGGGCTTTTGGAATTCCCATCTTGCACCTTTTCTGCCTTTTGTCTTTTGATTTGCATTTGAGATTATTATAAGTTTTGACACCATATTCTCACAAGAGAAGTTCAGACGAGTAACTGGATATCGGCACTCGCCATCTACGACGGCAGTGCAACGAAGTAGCATCTTAATCGCCCGTCGCAACACTTTTGCCACTGACTTTATCCTGGTACGGCTCCTGATTCGGAGCAACGGCCATGATGAAACAAAAAACATAAAAAAAGCTTGGATTTTCTATAAAAATTGGCCAAAGGGTAGAGGGGGGTTTATGTTGTAATTTGAGAAGTTAAATGCCCTTGTCTGCAATTAGAAATTGGGGTTATATTGTAATTTTTTAAAATAAGGACCTGTCATGCAATTTTTGAATATTGAAGGAGCTAGTTTTAATTTTAAATTTAGGGTTAAGATGTAATTTTCGAAAATGGTATTAAATTTGAACTTTTAAAAGCTTTGGGCCCAAAATTTCAATTTTGGCCCAATCAAAATATCACATTCAAAATTGAAGACTTTTATATTTTCCTTAAAATGTTTATATATATTTAATTTAAATGTTGTTATTATTTGTAATTTCAATTTTCATATATATATTGAAATTTTGTTGTCAATTTGTTTTTCAATCACATATGAATTTTGTCTTTCATCGATTGATGATTATGATTTGTTGCATAATCATTGTTTTGTCGTTGAATTTTTTGTGGGCTTTGAGACGGACCTTATTTTCCCACTAAGAGAAATATTTTGAAATAAAAATTGGTGGTAATTGCCAAAGTAGTACACTCTTTATTATTTATTCAATTTTCTTGACGTAAAAAAAAATTGAAGGGCGTTAGTGTCGCACTTTTAAATCATTACATATAGTATCTTGCCCAGATGTATTATTATATATATGATATTTTGGAAAATGGCATAAGGCAGCTAACGAGTTTACTTTGGTCTAGAAATTTCCTTCGGTCCAAAGGTGTTGGTATTTCAAAAACCAATGAGAAGAGTACCTTATAGTATATTATATTGTCAGTCCAAAAGTGACTTGATAATAATGCATCTAGACTCTTACCGTAATAAGATTTGTGGATCTAACTTTAATTACGGATTATCTAATTAATAGCCTCTGTTAATTAGATGGATATTTTATCATCCATTGACTACATGCATTACGTTTAGATGATATAATATGTGTCCACAATTTTAAATGCCTCATTTCTTTCAAGTCAACCTTGATTGAAAATAATTATGTGAGATGGAAATGGAACGTAGAAATGACACTTGGTTCTTTGGGCTTAGATTTTGCAATGGAGACAAAGCTTTTGAAACCATAGATAAGAGCACTCTTAAATATGTGGGTGAATATGAAAAGTGGGAAAGAGCCAACAAATTTTGTTTGAAAATATTAAGCGTTCTATTTCCAATTCCATTATGTGTGCTATCCCAGACAATAAAAATGTCAAAAGTTTTATGGATGTCATAGGAGAGGAATTTGTTATGTCTGATAAAGTTGAGACTGGAGATTTGATGGACAAACTGATGAATATAAGATATGATGGTACGAGTGGAGTTAGACAGCATGTTATGAACATGACAAATATATCATCCAAGCTAAAAGCTCTTTAGATTCTCATTGCGGAGCCTGTCCTAATCTATTATGTTTTAAATAGCCTTCCTAGCCAGTTCAATCAGCTTAAGATTGCTTACAATGCTCAGTGAGATAAATAGAATTTGAATGACCTTATTGCAGTGTGTCCCCAAGAGGAGTATAAGATGCGGCGTGAGACTGTTAAAACTGTGCTATAAGCTTTTCAGCCATTACAGAAAAAAGGGTCTTCTCATAACAATAAGTCTAAATTTCAAAAGGGTAATAAGTCATACCGAAATCAACAGAATAAAAATTTTGGTGGTCCCAAAAGAATTATAACTAAAAATGATCAATGTAAGTTCTACAAAAGAAAATGTGTCTAATCTGTGAATCATCCTCTATGTTGTAGCATAAGTGGTTGGATCGCATTTCAAATGAAAGAATGGAAAGATTGGTACAAGTTAAGATTCTTCTCTATGTAAACTTCTCTGATTTTGACACGTGCGTGGATTGTATAAGAAGAAAGCTAACTAAATCTACAAGGAAATGTTCTACTAAGAACGATGGTATTTTGGACTTGATACATACTAATATTATTGGACCTTTACCTTCCCTTCCATCATATGTGGGAACAAATACTTCATAAATTTTATTGATGATTTTTCACGATATGGACATGTTTACCTGATTAATGATAAATCTCATGCACTTAAAAAATTCAAGATTTTCAAAATGGAAATAGATAAACAATCTCGAAAAAATATCAAAGTTGTAAGATCTAATCGTAGTGATGAGTATTATGACAAGTATGACGAGTCTGGTCAAAATATGGGTGATTTTGCAAAGTTTTATGTGGAATAGTGACTCAATACATCATGCCAGGGACGACTTCCATGTTCAGTATTAACATTCTTATTAAGTCGGATCATGTTGCGTTAGGTGTCATTATTGGAACTATACTTGTGTAGCCACCTATGTAGTCTAATCCGGATGTCAAATGTTTTGTTGTAGCAATCAAATGATTGCTCAAGTGGGAGAATATTGAAATAACTCTAATATGAGCTTCACATTGATTGTAAAATTTACGGGTTCGATGTATGGCTCATAATAATACTATGATTAAGCTCAAATATGTTAAGTGATCAATTGGGCCATTTTACATCTTACAAGCTATATTTTATATGTTGTGGTAATTTTAAATATGTGAGCCGAAAATATATATAAACCCTAACTAGAGTTTAAGTTGTAATGGGACGGTTCGATCATTTTCTATATAAAGGTTAGGTCGCCTCTCTTCTCTATATTGTTTTATTAACTTGCCCTATTGACGACTAATACTTTGTGATGAGCAAAGGGGGAAGATCTAGCTGTTATTACTCATATCCACAATGTCTTCCGCAGGTGTGAATTTGATTTATCAATTTATTATTATGTGATTCTTGTGTCTTACCATGATTATTATTAAATTCAACACTTAATTCCAATGATAATTACGAATAAGTTGGAGAATTAAATTATTTATTACATCTTTTTCATGCTCTTGAAATAGAAGACATGACCATACGGCCAGGCAATAAAACAATGTGCCGTTTCAAATTTACCCATTAATACACTTAAAAAAAATAAAAAATAAAAAAAATCATAGGATTATGTAAAAATAATATTATATTTGCTCTCAAAAAATATAATCTTAGAGTTGAGAAATATAGTATTAGAAAAAGAAGAAAATATGAATGAATGACAAAATAGAATGTGTAAATTATCTTAAAACAATATACTAACAAAATTTGATAAAATAATTGATAAATTTTATCGGTACTTGTTTTCTTTAATTCGGATTGGTCAAATTTGCGTATCATACTAACAAAATTAATTGATAAATTTTGTTACTTCTTGTTTTCTTTAATTCGGCAAAGTCAAGCTTGCGCTTTACCAACAAAATTCGATAAAATAATTGATAGATATTGTTAGTACTTGTTTTCTTTAATTCAGTTCAGTCAAGTTTGCGTATTATGCTACCATTTTGGCTTACAAACAAATGTAAACAAAATTTATCATGACAAAGAATTCGCAATTTTATCATATTTTATTATTTGTAAGTTTTTTAATATAATTATATAAGGATCCAAGGATAGAGTGTAGCTTAAAAATTGATAAAAATTTAAATAAAGTTAACAGTTAATCTTAATCGCACATTTTATTTAATTCATAATTTTTATCAACTTTTCAACCACACATTTAATCAATTTTTATAAAAATTTACTAAAAATCAGATTTTTACCCGTACCCAAATAGGGGCAAGAAGTGGTTTATATGCTGACCACACAATAATGTAGAAATATGTAGAGTATTGCGACCAAATTCGGATAGGATAGATTGCGTGGAAATCAAGTTTCCGTATCAGGTCAGTGTCACCCTAGCATTCTTATTATATTAACGGGTTTTTGAGTTCGATTAAAAGTATGTAAGAGTAGACGTGAGAAGAATCTTGTATCCCTTTTCCATACTATACAAACATGTAGTAATAACTAATACGTGGTCCTAGCAGTGTATTTAATCTCCATAACCTCTTGAATTCTCAAATCTACCTAACCCCATGCTCCTATAGACCCACAATTTGAATAAACATTCAATTCCGATGTTAAAATGAAAACAACATTTTCTACACCCACCCTCATAAGGGTAACGTAAAGAAGAAACTTTCAAAACCATAGCGTGGAACTTCATTTTCCCACATATTCCATCTTAACTCGTCAGCAGTAGTACTCCATGGAAAAGAAAAACCCTAGAGCTATTGTTGATGAATTGTCTTTAGTTAAAGCAGCTGCATGGGCATGGTTCCAACATGGCTCCGGCTCCGATGGGAAACCTATGCGTGAATTTGATCTTACGAGGTTTAAGAGTGTTCCAAAGCCATCGAGGTACAAGTTACAGGCCGTTAAACAAGTTCAAGAAACTAAAGATTCATCTGGTTCAACATTAAGTGTTTCTAATAATTCTCTTCTTGATAAGTATGAGATAGAGAGGATATCAAGGCAGCTAGATTCGTATATAGAGTCTAGTCATGCACAGCACTACGGCGGGGTTTATGTCGGTGATTCAGACGAAAAGGGCACTGTGGTGGCGGTCGGAGAAAGTGGCAGCGGGATTGGAATGAAGAGTAAGCAGAAGAAAATGAAAGAAATATTAAAAGGGTACTTTTGGTTTAGGCATTCAGTGGTTTGTGGTTCAAGACACGATGTGGTAGAAAATAGAAGTTTTGGGCATCTACACCGGCTGCGGCGACAAGAAAAGCACATGCCGTGAATCCTGTAGTAGCGGTGAGCAAAGGTCCGGTTCTAAAAACCCGGAAATGAATATTGTCAAAGTAGGAATAAGAATTGATATTATTGTAAATGGAAGCATTTCGTTGATTATTATGTCATTTCTCGTCTCTGAATGCCTAGTGCCTTGAAGATGCATTGTAGGTGCTTCATTTTCTTTTTCATTGAGGTCGAGCCTAAACATGTGCTCTTGCTCAAAAAATAGCTATCTATACATGTTGTTAAGGTATGTATGAATTCTCGAATAGAGAGGATCGTGGTGTTTTCTTAGACTGTTTAAATCTCATGAATGAATCGAAAGTTGAATTTATATTGGATCTCACCCGAGTCGCCCCACCTATCTTCATGAAGAAATTTTTGGTTTCTAACCCAAGTTCGATTTAGCTTCCTATGTCCTTTCTCGTCCCTGGGTACCGAGGTCTTGATTCAGGTGAGTTGAACAAAGACTGGCCACGGCGTGGCCATGGGTAATCAATTGGCCAAGTTGGGTGGCAGATGTTAGGAGGATTTAACTGTGAACGACCATGGAGATGGACAGCTCGTGTCATGAACAAGGTTTAATATCGTGGTCTGTCTTCTAGTGCAACTATTTTGCCACATGTTTTGTTCACATATGCACAGAATCGGGTGGTGCTATAAGTATAGGAAAGAGGTCACAGAAAACTATACAAGAATTCAAAATAAATGACGTGGCTATGGAGGGAAAAAACAAAAAGAAGAGTAAACAGAAAATGGGAAAGATCTAACAAAACCAATCTTTCTAATTCCATTCATCATTTTCCCCCAAAAACCTCGCAGAGAAGTCCTCCACTCACTTTCTCCATCTCCAGCCAACTTCCGACTACCCAATCGGTATCCACGTCCGGCCACGGTGTAATCACGAAAGCCCACCAAATTGACACTGTAGGTTTGAGAAAGTGAGAGCAAATTTTGGGTTTGAGAAATTTCTTATATTTGGTTTTGTCCGGAATAATCTTGAATCTCTTCTTCTATCAAACAATCATGATAAAAGAGAAAAATATAATTAACAAAGACTATTTTCTAACCAATTTTCACACGCTATCTAATTACATTTTAACAAACCGTCATAGGATTGAGACAGCTCAACTGGTGGATCAATCAACATTGGCTTGCTTCCAGCGACAGGGTGGAGAGTTCGATTCCTGGTGGGAACCTACGGCCAAAAATTTGGTATGGAGCAATCACTGTGAAGGAGGGTCTCTTGTGTGCATAAGTGTACAGTTAATGGGGAGAACCTGTGATCCAGTTGAGGCATAACCCGCGATTTACCCCCTCCAAGGTTTTAGGGGCATGAATCTTGGAGGTCCAGGATTTAATCTGGTATAAGTTGGAATACCTGGATATCACATAAAAAAAGAGAGAGAGAGAGAGAGAGAGAGGCCCCTTGTACATTTCCACACACTGTCTTCTTACACTTGTCTTGGCTTTCTCTGCTACACTACACAGTACACCAACCACACCCAACTACACAAAAACTACCTGAAAAATTCTCAAGAATTCTCTCTCATTTTTAATATATATAATTTATTGCTTATTTGTCGATATAATCGATTTGTCTGTTTACATTCCCCTTCAAAACCATCTGTTTTAACGTCAAACTGTAATTTAATTGGTCCCTCAAGTTCTCTATAATTGAGATTTTCTTTTGATTTGAATTAATGGCTATTCATTCAGCTACCATGAGCTTCAACTGTGTCTGCTTGAATCGTCAAGCTTCTGGGTCATCTTATAGGTTATTGAGGCCCTTCGTTCTCGGCCAGTGCGAAGTCAAGTTGCTGGTTCTTTCTTCGCCGTCTCGAATTCATTTCACTCTTCAAAAATAAACCAAAGATGCGAAAGAAATAAGCTTAAAATAATTGACTGGAGGTGGCCGAAGATGTAGAGTAATGAGCGGCGAAGTGGCAGGGATTATTTGAGGAAAATGGCATGGGTTCTTGCTTTTAAGCCTGACATCGTCAACCTTCTTATTTTCTGTTTTCATGTCCATTTCTTTTGCCTTTTTTAAATGCCAACTCAGCCTTTTCAAATTCCTGTACATTTTCTGGCAAATGTTTTCTATACTTTTAGTTTTATTCCACAGAATCATACCACAATCGAATGTAAATTAATTGCTCTCCTATTGATACAGTACAAGACAGAGAGATAACTACTCTCCATCAATTCATTTAACCTTTTAACGTGATGTGTAGTTGTACACAAAAATGAGTTGACGTTAACTAACGAAGCCAACGGGCCAAACGTAGTAAATGAGCATGTTTGGGTTGACTTCCAAGTTTTACTTAAAAAGGATAAGACTCATATTTCTCTCACAAACATGCTCTAAGAATGTTTAGCCAAAGAGCATTAGCTTGACCCAAATGTTCGGACAATAGGCAACAATCGAGCTCAGACCTATTAGAGGTCAGCTACACGTATTATTGAGCTAGAAGGTTGCCATTAAAGGCTGATGCTTGTGACAATGCCATGAGATACTCGAGAGTAGGCTAAAGAGTTAGGTACAACCAACCATGTATAGAAACCAACACAACAATAAGATATTCACATACAACACAGTCCATAAAAGTACATAGACAATATGAAACTGCCGGGAATTTAAGAACCTATTAAAAGTGTCATACAATTGACAAGACAAATCACTGTACCTTGAATCAACAAGTTATAGTTGGAAGCACTCTTGCCAAGGAAACCTCGTTGTCAAAGAAGACGTGCAACCTTAGGCTAGAAGCATCTTCGACAACTTAGGATGCAGTTCAACTGCTAGTAGCAGCATAACTATCTGACTTTGACGCCTTTTCAATTGTTCGATATCATCTTACACCATTAAAAAGAGTAATAAAAATTGTAATTAGTCTAATGAAATTGTCTACTAATATACATACATCTCTTCACTCACCTAAGATGGTGGGAATAAACGATGTCCACATGGATATCCAGACTCGAATGTAAAAATGAGCAGAAGATACAGTCTATATCAGACACAAGATGTAGTCGAACATCTGAATGATGGTGCTCAGTTTCAAATTATTAAAAAAGATTACCTCCAAGAGGAACCACCAATTCTGATCACTTCCTCAGTACCACTAGGCCTGTTAGGTCCACTATCTTTGCCTACATCATCTTTTTGGTTGCTCACGTCACCATATAGATCTTTAAGCTTAGCCAAATTACTGGATGCGGATGTCCTTTCTTTGTTTACATCTCTAGCAGGACTCAGACGACTCCATTCGTGGATGCTTCGACTCCTGCTTCTGCTACGGCTTCGACTCCGACGAGAACTACCTTCTCTTGTGTACCGATCATCATCATGGCTGCTCCTCTCATAATCCCTTCTATAGCTATCTCTGGACCTTCTATCATAATCATACCCCCGATCGCTGTCTCTTCCACGTTCTCGGTCTCTCTCCCTTTCCCTGTCTCTGTCTCTATATCTGTCCCTGCCTCGATCTCGATCTCTGTCTCGGGAATAATCCCTATCCCTGTCTCTGTCCATCTCCCCTCTTTCTCTGCCTCTATCCCTGTCTGAATATTCTCGATCAGATAAATCACGGCTCTGGCTCCTACGAACACTTGGGGACCGTCTTGAATCACCTTCCCTATCATAAGCAGATGACGGCAGCGTACGGCGAACAGGAGATGAATCCCTAGTAGTTGCACGATGAGGAGCACGTTGACCGAAGGAAACAGAAAGAGAAGCTTTGACAGACGGTGGCCTCCGGGCAGTTTCCTCAGATCCACGGGTGTTCTCACCAGTAACACCAAGATGTTTAGTAGGTAGCTTCATATTTTCAAGATTGGCTACAATAGTTCGCATAACAGGAACTGGGATGCGGGGGAAAAGTGTGTCAAAATAATACTGCAGTAAGAAACAAATTTCTGAGTTATATGAAAGCGCAGTAGATAGTGGCATAAAGACATATATGCATCTAACTATTGGAACGTTCTTTAGAATATGTGATGATAATAGCATACCCTAACCATAATCCTTAATAGATAAACCACAAGGATAAGCTGCTCATTATCTGGCATTCCATCCAATAACAGAAACAAGCTCATCCCTAAACCGTAATAAATGGCTCCCAAACATCATAATGAACTGCACTCATCACCTCCTATACACAAAGCAACTTGGGTAAAGCCGTAAAGGGAGATTTCAACAGCAAGAGAACTATAAAAACATCAAGTATTGCAGGAGGTACAAATTATGGGAAGGTGTCTGATGGGGATTCTAGGAGAAATAGGATTAAATATAGAATCTGATTTAAAATAGGATTCGGTGGATAAGTTAAGATTAGTATAGAATTTGCAGATTAAATTCTTCTCTTTTCTTTTCTTTTTTTTTTTGTTTTTTGTTTTTTGTTTTTTCTCCTCCTTCCCTTTCAATATATTCTCTGTTCCCTTCTCTCTAATTTCCTTTGCGTCAAATAATTACCAGCCTTTTTTGACTTGCGAAAGCAAAATAATAAAGAATTTGAAAACCTTGAGAAGTACACATAAAAGGAGCAGATTTGTCAGATGACCACATAGAAAGTGAGATACGCTGGAAAAATAAAAATAGAATAGGTAAAATGTTCCAAACAACATTTACTAGATGTTACTGAAACAAAACATAAATTACAAAGTAGCTCTCCTAGTCTATCGAGTAATGCGGGCTTGTAATGAAATAATAGGACAACTTAAAGCCCAATTCTTAGAGATTCGAAAAATTTCTAAAGTGAAAATGATATGCACTTGAGAACAAGAACGATAAGTTGAAAATAGTTCCAAATGCTCTACACTGTTCCAGTCCTTTCCATTCTTCTAGTGCACTCGATACCTAGAAGTTGTGGGTGGTTTCTGGGTGATAATTTTTAGTTGATCAGTTGTGATTCCAATGCCCAACACTATGGGATACATTTTTGGAAAGAAAAAGCGAAATTAAAAGCATGATAAACTCTTTAAATTATGAATAGATAAAAATAAGTGCCAGATAAGTGAGTAATACCTGCAGACTGCTAGAAATGTGTGAATATAAAGCAGCTTGAGTTTCTATGTATAGATTATAAACATGAGCCAAGCACAGGCTAAATTTTATTGCTTATTCAATAAGTAAAATCGAAATATTACATAGATCAAGTGTTTATTCCTCAATATATTCCCATTTTCGATCTGAATACATCAGATATCAAACCAAAGGAGATGGTATAATAAGGTAAAAGACCTCAATCGATAGGTTGCACTGAGTAATGCATAGAATTAGAACTGATTACATGAAAGAGAGAAAAAACTAGGGGATTACTGTATCATACAATGATAACTATCAAGTTAATAGAAAGAAGACATACATATCATTAAAAGATAAATATCTATAACATAAGCATACAGAAATGATTATAAAATTACCAAGCCACACTAGAATTGATTCAAAAAAGATCAGAAAGTAGACTATACACCAACAAACCAACAGGTAGATGCAACACCATACTAAAGTTTGTTACTACAAATGAGTGTCAAATGTCAAATATACATGCTAACTATCGATGTATTTTAAAAAGAGGATTTGCATGAAAAACAGATAAAACACATGCAGTTTAACTTGTCCAGCAAATTGAAGGCAATGAATAGCACCTTACCTGACCAAGAAGCAAGTCGCGTACATAAACACCCATCGTGGTCATTCGGCCATTAGAACCAGGAGAGAATTCCTACAATAGTATATAGTTTTCACAAGAATAAGCTTTCCACATTAGCATATTGAAGTTAAGAGTAAGAAGGTAAAGAAACAAAATCCAAGATATTAATTACACAATCAAGGCTTATACCAGTGCAGCACTTGAAGATGCCCCAATACAACTCAGGGAGATTTTGTTATAGATAACAATAAATATTTCCTAAGACAAGCATCTCAAAGCATTAGCTCCTCAAACACCATTTCAACCCAAAATGTCTCAACTCCCATTGTAAGATTAATAAAAAGAGTGAGAGCATATAAAAGAGAATTGAGACATCATAAGTAGGAATATTCTCAAAAAGAGTGCAAACAAATAAATTGGAAGATGCGTCAATTCTAAGAGAACAGTTTTTTGCCATCAACTATCAAATTTCAATTGAGAGGAGACACCAATACTGCATCAGGCAAGGCCATGGTAACATTATGCACATTATCAATTATTACTTTAAATAACATGAGAACAACTCGAACTTACAAGTACAAGAGTAACACAAAAAAAAAGTTGAGCAAAAAGAAGCAGACAGGTCACCTTTTCATACCTCATCATCTTTTAAGTACGGCTCATACCAACTCCATAATGTCTTTGGATCGGCAACATATCTTAAATAGAGAAATCCAATCTGCAGAAGTAATAGAGGTCATTAGTCCCAAAATAAAGGCTCACGTCAGCAAACAAATTGGCCATACAAACAAAATGGAGAATAAATTAGGTCCATAATCTCTTGCTACCCAGAAAGCGTGACCATCTATGAAGCACTAATAACATAGACTCTGCATGTAACTTAGCGTAAAAGTAAGACATGTCAAGGTCGTCTATTAAAATGTTATATATTAATACCTTCATCTTTTACAAATCTTTTATTTTAACAAAATTAATACCTATCTTAGATTCGGTTTTTACTATTACCAGTGAAATCTTGTGAATCAGGGGAGTAGCTCTGTGTAGCAAGACAATTGTGAATTATATTTACTACTAATGCTGCGTGGCATGTTGAACGAGTGCTTGAGGAGTGTAGGCAAAGTTTGCCTCATATGTTGAAATTTAAGAAACTATAAAAAATAGGACACGCCACATGGCGTGTTAGACGCTGTCCTGAAGAATGTACAGTTAGTTGGACCGAAAAACAAGATAAACAAATATGGTCCGAAGACTCCACTTACCGCTCTGATATAAGGAGAATCTGGGTGCTTCAGTAGCCCATGCATTTGCTTGACAGTGAGTTTCATGGTAAAGAACTTGTATAGAAGGCAAAATGCCGTTGAAGGACCCCGGCAGTTGCCGGTCATCCATGGTTCCACATGTGTGACGGTAACGTAAATCTCATCTATCACTTCATGATAAGTTTTCAATCTCAACAGGTCCCGAAAGTAATCAGAAGAAAGTATATTCATGCATAGGACTTTCTCCAATAATTGATCAATTGGTCTTCCGGATGACTTTATCTCGGCCATACTGTATCATTCAATGCACTGACCCATCAAATAAAAAAGTTAGAAAATAGAATATCAAAAGATTATCATAGTAAAGTTTCTCGTGAAAAACTAAAAACTCTATTCCTACAACCTAAAGAATTGAATGAATTAGTAACTAAAAAGAAATTAAACAGTTGGATTCAATCCAGTAAAATTATAAAACAACAATTTCCTCTCTTTTATGGCATAAGCACTATTCTTTTTTCAAAACCTCAAATGTAATTTGAAATTGAAGACAATTAAAGATAAAAGGAATGCTTGAATTTCACTATATTTGCGACCCCAAGTTATCAAAAACTTGTGCAAATTAGGTTACGAATCTAAATCAAGCTATTCTAAAAAGATCGTGAACGCAGAACAAATTCGATATTAAACTTTAATTACCATTCATATGTACTTAAACAGATAGGATTGTGCTCAATATAGATGTTACAGCGATCGAATTAATGAAAGAAAGAAAGAAATCAGGAACGAATTAAAAGAAAATTGTGCTTATCTTTTATAATTATACAGATACTACAGAAACGTAATCAGGATAGAAAAACATTTGACTTTTTTCTTACCTTAAAGAGATGAGGAGAGCACGACAGAAAAGGGGAAATACGAGCTTTTAGAAATGTGATTTGAACCCTAGAAGGAATGTTCAAAATTAGGTAACACCTGTGTTAGTGTAAATCGAAATGGGGCCTGAATCTTGATAAGATTGGGCCCCATAATATGAATCCAATTAAAATATATTTCCCGACAGTCTTATGATCAACTTTTATAAATAGCCATCCTTAGTGCCGGTTTCAACTTAAATTGCCATTAAGGATAGAAAGACAAATTGCATTTGAACTTTCATCTAAACAAAAAGCGGATAAAAAGTTAAAAACGACTAAATTTCTCGTCAGACGTTTTTATTTTCTCCAATTGAACATAGAAAAGTCTTCGAGCTTCAGCAAAGCCTCCGGTGCATACCTCTGGCCACCTACATCGCTAACCTAATCCCAACCTGCCATTCACTACCCACTCATACTGCCTTCTGTTGTCCTTAGACAATGGCGATTAATATATAAAACGTTGAAAATAAAAATGTCAAGAAACAAAGTTTGTGGGTAGAATTGAAAAAAGCTATAAAAGTTGAGGATGACAGCCACAATTTGCCATTTTAAGAGTTGATTCTAGCATTTTGATCCATTTAAAGGGTTAATTGTGATCCAACCAATAAGGAATAAAGAGTTTAAAAAATAAAAAAAAAAGTTAAATATAAATAATTTTACTCATGATACTGTAAAGGGCCTAATAATATATATATACTTTAGCATGTAATAGTTTGGTGCTTATTTCTTTGTTCTTAGATTTATTGTATGAGACGTGATTTCATCGAGGTATGACCTTTTGTCCCCTTCTTGCATCTTTTGAAGTTCGTGTGTGCCTCGGTGAGGATTTTGATCTTCTCATGTTGTAATGGTTGAGTAGGCAATAATAATACTAATCTCACATGGTTGTATAATGTTGTATTCCTTTTTAAAAAATAAATTGGTAAAATTGATTCAAATTAACCAATTTTTGAGTGAATCAACAAGTTTAGATATTCTTCTTAACGGGTTTTGACTTTTTCAATTTTTTAAGTGTATTTTTCAAAAAGAAAAAGTTTAGATGTAATTCATTTAGACTTCTTGACTACGAGATGTTTGGTGAGGATTAAAATTAAATTTTTTTAGTAGATTGTGATAGAAGTTTTGGAAATGTGTGGTTGAAAAATTGTGTGACCCATTAATGATGTGGTAAATATTGATTGTTTAATTTTGACTTAAATTAAATCAGATTTTAATTCAAATCAAATAGGCTCACAAGTATTAAAAAGATTTTTAACATGTGATATCTATGTCAACTTCTTCTTGTCTTGATTTATCGTTCTTTTTTTTCTTTTTTTGGCTAGATTATTTATTATGATGAACGATATGTCTAATTAACATCTATACATATTCTACCTATATAATTGTTTTCTCCATTTAATTAAGAAAACTCAAATTTAAAATCAAAATTCAAGAATGAGTGTTCTTGTTAGAGTTAGTTTAAATTAGAGTGATATTGATGATTAAGTCTCGTGGGACAGTGTTCTACTCACTACTTTATTACTTATTTACTTACTATCATCTTGTAAGAAAATATCAACACTTTTTTTTACTTATAAGTAAATAAAAACTGAAATATCTTTGACACATAAATGTCAATTCTATTTTAAGGGGTTTAACCAAATTTATTTCGAAAGATGTGACAACTAACCAAATATATCTTCTACATATTCTAATTCATTTTTTGTACAAAATTATGTTTTATAAAATTAACTTGTTGTAGTCGAACTACTCAAGCCATCCTAGTTTTCAAAATCGTCAAATAGGTGAAACTTTACAAATTTAACTGGCTTGATAAATTTTCATATCATCAAATACTAAAAATAACATTTCATAAATTAAAATCGATTACAAACAACATTATCCACAAATTTCACGAGAACAGCGTAATATGTTAGTTGATTAGAAACGAATTTAGTCGACACGAATGACTAGGTTCTCAAAGTATCGAGGAGAGTATTTTATTGTTGGTCCTAGTGACACATTACATCAATTAGTGTTTGGCTAATGTTTATAAACACCCAAGTCATTTTTTCTCCATACACATCGAGAAATACACAAGTATTATCCAGTTATTTGTCACTCATTTCAATTAATATATAATTTAAAACATTTACAAACACTTTCCAAACATATTCTATATATCAGTATCAATAATAATACCGGTAAATAGGATCGAAAGGAAAAGGGAACCTATTCACTCTTTAAAAATAATTAAATAAAAATCGACCCCTCTATTTTTTATGGAGTTTATGGGTTCCATTGGTGCAAAATTGTGTTAGGTATTATTGGACTAACTTAGGTGGGCCTCGTTTTGCAATGTCAATGAAAAATGCAGACTGAATTTGGCAGGCCTAAGTGGCCCAAACTACCTTGTTAAGGATTCTAATTTGATTCCAACCAACTTTAAAAATGAAAAATAATAATAATAATAATAATAATAATAATAATAATAATAATAATAATAAATACACGTACTTAATAAAAAATTAAATACGAGGAATATTATTCTAGAAGTGGTCCGTGGACATAAATTTAATATAAGTTGAACCATCAGAATTCATGTTATTTTCTTAAAGCACCTCCAACCATAGTCATTTGTTAAGTCCAACAATATTCTCTGAAATTATTCTTTACAAGTTTTGGATAAAACTATAATGTGATAGAATAAATTATGGATAAGTAAATAGTAATTGCGAATCGTATAAATATGGTTAAAATTAAAGTATTATTGTAAAAAGTAAATTATAAGTTAATTTTGATATTGTCCAAACATAGGCTTTATTTTGCTTATTTCTATGAATAAGTATGTCCAAAGCTTTTTTCTTCATAAAATTCACTTGCTTCCCTTAGAAAAGTCGCTCTCTACATTTAAGGAGGCAAGTTTAAATCTTTACAGATAGAGAATTTGTTAGACTAATTAAAATAAAGATCGATTCTTTTAGATAAAGAGGATGGAAAAAAATAAATAATCTCTTTAAAATTAAGTTACTGTTTTTTCTTACATTTCTTCGCTAGTTTTATTTTTACAAACTTGCTTTCTACAATGATTAAAAGAAAAAAAAATCACCATGTGGCCAAATTTAAATAAGGGTGCGTTTAATTGTCAATATTTTTTATTGGGAATGTGTTTTTTCCACCCAAATTTCTATTTTTGTACTGTTTGATTGTTATTTTTCCATTAAAAATATTTTCCTACTTTTCTTTATGGGGAGTGTGATTTTATTTTCCAAAAAACTCATTCTCTCTTTCTCTCTCTCATCTATCCACTCACCAATAAAAAAATGGACAAATATAATATTTTTTAGATTAAAAATTAAATTAATCAAACACATTTGATTGATAATTTTCATGTAAATAAATTCTAGACAATTGAATTACTTATAATTTATTTTATTTTCATACAAATTTCATACTTACAATCAAACGCACCCTAACTAAATTTGAAAGAAAAATGTGTAAGCAGGGAACCTCTTTCATTTTGGCTTGTCCTTGCCTTAAAAGGTGTCAAAAGTAAAAAGAGCTTCAATTGCAAAGATAAAAAGTTGTAATTATTGATGACTCCTTTTTTGCTACGCTGTTGACATGTCTTAATCGATATGGACGAAACCAATTTGTCAGCAAAACAAGGATAACAACAAGAGTACCCCGGGACACTTCTCCACTGACAAAAGAAGGATTCTCTTAAGATTGGCAGTTCAGAGGTCGTGGGTTCGATTCGTGGGGCTCTTGGAAGGCAAGTCATATACTGGAAGGCAGAATTTATCCTGGAAGGTAGGAAGTCTTGGAAGACAAGGCGCAACGTGGGTTGGCTCACTAGGCACTTTGACAATTCAGTTGGAGAGGTGCTCAGACCCTGATTAGTAGGAGGCACATCCCGCTGTTTAATTGGTCTGTGTGAAGAGGGGTCAAATCACAGATCCAAAGAATAGTCGTTGAAGGCGTGACACCTTGATATAAAAAAAAAAAAAAAAAAAA